AAGAACATGGTGTATCTCTCCATGTGTTTGTGTCAGCTTTGATTTCTTTCATCAGCATCTTATAGTTTTCAGAGTACAGGTCTTTTGTCTCCTTAGGTAGGTTTATTCCTAGGTGTTTTATTCTTTTTGATGTGATGGTAAATGGGATTGCTTCCTTAATTTCTCTTTCTGGATCTTTTGTTGTTAGTGTATAGAAATGCAACAGTTTTCTGTGTATCAATTTTGTATCCTGCAACTATACCAGATTCATTGATGAGCTCTAGTAGTATTCTGGTAGCATCTTTAGGATTTTCTCTGTATAGTATCATGTCATCTGCAAACAGTGACAGTTCTTTTCCAACTTGGATTCCTTTTATTTCTTTTTCTTCTCTGATTGCCGTGGCTAGGACTTCCAAAGCTGTGTTGAATCATAGTGGCGAGGGTGGACATCCTTGTCTTGTTCCTGATCTTAGAGGAAATGTGTTCAGTTCACTGTTGAGAATGTTAGCTGTGGGTTTGTTGTATGTGGCCTTTATTATGTTGAGGTATGTTCCCTCTATGCCTACTTTCTGGAGAGGTTTTTTTTTAATCATAAATGGATGTTGAACTTTGTCAAAGCTTTTTCTGAATCTATTGGGATGATCATATGGTTTTTATTCTTCATTTTTTTAATGTGGTGTATCACACTGATTGATTAGCAGATATTGAAGAATCTGGGCATCCCTGGGATAAATCCCACTTGATCATGGCGTATGATCCTTTTCATGTATTGTTGGATTTGGTTTGCTTGTATTTTGTTGAGTATTTCTGCATCTATGTTCATCAGTAATATTAGCCTGTAATTTTCTTTTTTGTGGTATCTTTGGTTTTGGTATCAGGGTGATGGTGGCCTCATAGAATGAGTTTGGGAGTGTTCCTTTTTCTGCAGTTTTTTGGATTAGTTTCAGAAGGATAGGTGTTAACTCTTCTCTAAATGTTTGATAGAATTTGCTTATGAAGCCATCTGGTCCTGGACTTTTGTTTGTTTGGAGTTTTTAAATCACAGTTTCAATTTCAGTACTTGTGATTGGTCTGTTCATATTTTCTATTTCTTCCTGGTTCAGTCTGGCAGATTGTACCTTTCTAAGAATTTGTCCATTTCTTCTAGGTTGCCCATTTTATTGGCATATAGTTGCTTGTAGTAGTCTCTTATGATCCTTTGTATTTCTGTGGTGTTGGTTGTAACTTCTCCTTTTGCATTTCTAATTTTATTGACTTGAGCCCTATTCCTTTTTTTCTTGATGAGTCTGGCTAAAGGTTTATCAATTATGTTTATCTTTTCAAAGAACCAGCTTTTAGTTTCATTGATCTTTTCTATTGTTTTCTTCATCTCTATTTCATTTATTTCTGCTCTGATCTTTATGATTTCTTTCCTTCTACTAACTTTAGGTTTTGTTTGTTCTTCTTTCTCTAGTTGCTTTAGGTGTAAGGTTAGGTTGTTTGAGATTTTTCTTGTTTCCTGAGGTAAGATTGTATTGCTATAAACTTCCCTCTTAGAACTGCTTTTACTGCATCCCATTGGTTTTGGATCGTCGTATTTTCGGTGTCATTTGTCTCTAGGTATGTTTTGATTTCCTCTTGGATTTCTTCTGTGATCCATTGGTTGTTTAGTGGCATATTGTTGCAGCCTCCACATGTTTGTGTTTTTTACAGGTTTTTTTCCTGTAATTTATTTCTAATCTCATAGCATTGTGGTTGGAAAAGATGCTTGATATGATTTCAATTATCTTAAATTTACCAAGGCTCATTTTGTGGCCTAGCATGTGATCAGTCCTGGAGAATGTTCCATGTGCACTTGAGAAGACTGTGTATTCTGTTGCTTTTGAACAGAATACTCTATAAATTAAGTCCATCTTGTCTAATGTGTCATTTAAGGCCTGTGTTTCCGTATTGATTTTCTGTCTGGATGATCTCTTCAATGATGAAAGTCGGCTGTTAAAGTCCCACACTATTATTGTTACTGTTGATTTCTTCTTTTATGGCTGTTAATATTTGCCTTTTCTCCTCCCCTCACTTTCAGTTTTTATGTGTCCCTAGATCTGAAGTGGGTCTTTGCTAACATATATATGGGTCTTGTTTTTGTATCCAGCCAGTCCTTGTCTTTTGGTTGGAGCATTTAATCCATTTACATTTAAGGTAATTATCAATATGTGTGTTCTTATTGCCATTTTGTTGATTGTTTTGGATTTGTTTTCCTAGTTCTTTTATCTTCCTCTATTGTTCTCTTGTGATTTGATGACTAACGTTAGTGTTGTGTTGGATTCCTTTTTCTTGTTTGTGTATTGTAGATTTTGGTTTGCAGTTATCGTGAGGTTTTGAAATAGCAGTCTATATATAAACAAGATTGTTTTAAGTTCCTGTTCTTTTAATTTCAAATGCATTTCCAATATTCTGCATTTGTGCTCTCCCCTTCTCACAGTTGCTGGCTTTGATATCATATTTGTGTGTAGATGACTTCCTGCCTTTACTGTATGTTTGCCTTTATCGGTGAGCTTTTCCATTTGTAATTTTCTTATTTCTAGTTGTGGCCTTTTCTTTTCCACCTAGAGAAGTTCCTTTAGCATTTGTTGCAAAGCTGGTCTGGTGGTGCTGAATTCTCTTAGCTTCTGCTTGTCTGTAAAGCTTTTGATTTCTCTGTCGAATCTGACTGAGAGCCTTGCTGGGTAGAGTATTCTTGGTTGTAGGCTCTTCCCTTTCATCACTTTAAATATACGGTGCTACTCCCTTCTGGCCTGCAGAGTTTCTGATGAACAATCAGCTGGTAACGTTATGAGAGGTACCTTGTATGTTATGTGTCATTTTTCCCTTGTTGTTTAATATTTTTTCTTTGTCTTTAATTTTTGTCAATTTGATTACTATCTTTCTCGGTGTGTTCCTCCTTGGATTTATCCTGCCTGGGACTCTCTGTGCTTCCTGGACTTGGGTGACTGTTTCCTTTCCCATGTTGGGCAAATTTTCAGCTATTATCTCTTTAAATATTTTCTCAGGTCCTTTCTCTCCCTCTTCTCCCTCTGCGACCGCTAAAATGCAAATGTTGGTGCATTTCATGTTGTTCCAGAGGTCTCTTAGACTGTCCTCATTTCTTTTCATTGTTTTTTCTTTATTCTCATCTGTGGCATTGATTTCCACCATTCTGTCTTTCCAGCTTACTTACCTGTTCCTCTGTCTCAGTTATTCTATTGATTCCTTCCAATGTATTTTTCATTTCAGTTTTATATTGTTCATCTCTGTTCTTTAGTTCTTTTAGGTTTTTGTTAAACATTTCTTGTATCTTCTCGATCTGTACCTCCTTTTTCTGAGATCTTGGATCATCTTTACTATCATTACTCTGAATTTTTTAGGGGGTAGACTGCCTGTCTCCACTTCACTTACTTTTTCTTCTGGGGTTTAATCTTATTCTTTCATCTGGGACATATTCCTCTGCCATCTCATTTTGTCTAGCTTTCTGTGACTGCAGTTTCTGTTTCATAAGTTGTAGTTCTTCTTGCTTCTGCTCTCTGCCCCCTGGTAGATGAGGCTGTCTAAGAGGCCTGTGAAGGCTTCCTGGTGAGAGGGACTGGATCCTGCCCACTGGTGGGCGGAGCTGGGTCTTGTCCCTCCGGTGGGCAGGGCCAAGTCAAGGGGATGTGTTTAGCGGACAACTGTGCGCTCAGGAAGACTCTAAGCAGCCCACCTACTTATGGGTGAGGCTGTGTTCCCACCTTGTTGGCTGTTTGGCGTGAGGCGTCCCAGCACTAGATCCCACAGGCTGTTGGGTGGGGCCAGGTCCTAGTGAGGAAATGGTGGCCTCTGGGAGGGCTCATGCCAATGAGCACTCCTCAGAACTATCGCTGCCAGTGTCTTTGTCCCCACAGTGAGCCACAGACCCCCACCTCCACAGGAGACCCTCTGGTATCAGCAGGTAGGTTTGGCCCAGGCTCTTATGAGGTTACTGCTTTTTTTCTGTATCCTGCTTTGCATGAGACCTTGTCTACACTCTCCAAGAGTTTAGTTTCTGTTTCTCCCAGTCCTGTGGAATTCCTGTGAACACACCCTGCTAACCTTCAAAGCCAGATTCTCTGGGGGCTTTTCCCATTGCCAGACCCCAAGGCTGGGGATCCCAATGTGGGACTCAGAACTTTCACTCCTGTGGGAGAACTTCTGTGGTATAATTATTTTCCAGTTTGTGGGTTGCCCACTGGTGGGCGTGGTATTTGATTTTATCGCAGTTGCGCCTCTCCTACCTCTCTTTGTGGCTTCTTCTTTGTCTTTGGATGTAGGATATGTTTTTTGGTAGGTTCCAGCATCTTTTTGTCAGCGGTTGTTAAGCAGTTGTGATTTTGGTGATTTTGTAAGAAGAGGTGAGCTCCCATCCTTCTGCTCTGCCATCTTGTCTCCGTCTCCTCTAATCACTGTTTTATACGCTACTTTCTTCCATGTTTTATTGGCTCCTTTTTTTCCTTTGCGCTTAGTTCAGTTTCACTTGTTCATAGGTTGCCGGTACAGAGGCCTCTCACCCAGGACTTCAGACAAGCGTTCCTAGTGTGAAATGGCTCTCTCATCTCTAACTTTTTATTTTTAACATATAGCTCTTTTGTTAGTGTGTGATGACTGTATACATCTATTCGTACGAGCCTGAAGTTTCTCCCACTGAAGGATGATCCTTGGAGACAGCAGTAGCTGTGTCTGCCCTTCCTGTTTCCCCAGGCCTGGAACGGTGCCTGCCGGTTTGAGGGTGCTCAGGTGCACATGGCTGGAGGGGCTGAATGGACCCATGAGTAGTTCCCATATTCTAGGTGAGGAAAGCATGCCTCAGGAAGGTTACGGAACCATTCGGGGCTGCACTGCTGGTAAATGAGAGAGCTCCGTTCTCACACTCAGGCCTTCCACTCGGGGCCTGAGCTCCAGCCCTTCCCTGTGGCCTCTTGATCATCATCTGGTTCCAGGTTAGGACAGAACATTGTCGGCAGGATTCACATTCTCTCTCTCTGGTTCCTCCACAGACGCTGTGTGTTTCTCCCCACCCCATGGCTGCAGCCCTCACTGTTGCACGGTGGCCCTGACCCTGTCTGCCACGGCGGGAAGCTCAGCCCGGCCCCAGGCCAGTACTCTGAGCAGCTGGAAGTCGGCCCCACCAGCTCTGGGTGGCTTCGGGGGCTGCTCTGAGTGGCTTTGGGGGCTGCTCTGAGCTTCAGAGAAGAAAATCCATCTCCAGCGCCCTGTGTGTCTGGCTGAGGCCTTTCCTGCTTTGCAGTGGTTTGCAGGGGAGAGGACCTTTCAAGGGGGGGTGTGGACGGACGCCAGGACTCCCTCAGCCTCAGGGAGAAGGACATGTTTGCAGAGCTTTGAGGTCGCCTATTTCAGCAAGTTCTGGACTGGGATGGGGGGGCTGGGTGGGTGGGAGGGTGTCCCTGAAGGGGTGGGGTTGGCAGCACTGACAGCATGGTCTTTGGCTCAGGGCTTCCCTATTGGTGTTGTAATGTCTCCCCACAGATAATATCCCAGGCCTTTGGGAAACAGGTGCATCAGGGCTGAGAGCAGAATGTGCTGTGGAGAAAGCACATTAAGGGAGGAAACCCTTCAGTGATGCCCACCAGTCTCCATTAGCAAATGACACCCAGACCCCCAGGGTTAATAGGCCCCTCCCCAGAGTCAGGCCTTGCCCCCAGTGACCTCACCACCTCCTGGTCAGGCCAGCTATGCCACAGGATACTGTGCCTAGGTGCAGATGCATGTGGAGACCAGGCCCCATCACCTCCCCTCAGAGCCCAGCCCAAGAGGCAGCAATGACCCCATCTCCTGACAGGAGCACGGTCACCCTAGAATATGGCACTAATCTCCAAGACCAGCAGCAGATATGAGCTGGGGACCACAGAGGGACTCCAGGGTGCCCACTATAGATCCCACCAAGGCTGGACACATCTCAACTTGGAGGATGACCAGGCCCATGACTCCGGCCCCCCATCCAGTGTCTGCTGTCCTCTGACATCTTGCCCTTCCAGCGTAATGGGATCTGGCCCCTTTGCCCCCTGAGCTCAAAAACAATGGTCCCAAGAAAACTGCCAACCATTTGTTCATTTTTTCCACCTCCCAAGTCGTTGGGTACCTCATAGGTACAACCTCAGCATCTAGGGTTCTGGAGAGGTTGGCTCCTGCCAGCGGCCCTCCTCACTCCTAGTGTTAGAGTTTCTGGGCTGGTCCTTCGCTTGCCCCAGTGCAAGGCCATCAGCTGCCACTTGGGAAAAAGCCAAAAGCGGAAGGCACATCTCCAGGTTCCTTAGACCCCACCTGTATGAGAGGCCACCCTCTTGCTCTTGGTGCTTCATCTCAGCCACCTAGAAGCCAGGTGGCTTGTCCCAGGAGATGGCTCTGCCTGAGATTTGGGGAGGCCCTGGGGCTGGTGGGGAAGCAGCGGCCCCAGGTCCCGAGCCCACACTGCCTGGAGGGGCCCCTGTGGCCTGTTGCATTGCTGAGCCGAGTTAAGCACAGATCTCACAGCACAGAGGACCTCGCAGTGGTGCTTTTCCCAAAAGTTGTGTTGCTTTTATCCGTTTCTAACTTAATAAAAGAGTTAAGAAAAATCTTGCTTTCTTTGGGTGCTGGGGCCAGTCTTGCAGGACATTAAGGCACAAGCAGACTGATTTCCACCCCACCAGCCAGGGCTCACAGTCTGCCCCTCTGGGGGGTTAAGGGAGATCCACCTTCCTCAAGCACCTGCAAGCACGCAGAGGAGAGGGCTTCCTGTCCTCAAATTGATTGTTTCAGCAGCAGAAGCCTTTACACTGATTCTCATACCTTTTTTCCTGAAAAATTCATGCATGGGTGGACTCTAACTTGAAGATGTAATTCTGTTCTGTTGATTTCCATGTGTTCTTCCGTGTGCTGTGAACCCCCAGTTGACACTCAATCGTGTGAAAATAACACAAGCAGCGTTAAGACAATCATCAATACTCCAGTGGCTAGCATCAGTTATCACGACACAAATGCTAATGCTCATGTTCACCTGCTCTCCTTTCACACCTTTTCACAGCTATTATGAACCATAAACTCAAGAATGTGGACACAGGGCTGTGACAGCCACAGATTAAAGAGGAGGCCCTTCCCAACATCCCACTACAGGCTCTGAACACCACAACATCAAACACACCACCTCTCAAGGGGACAACGGCCAACACACCTTGGAGAAAGACGAGGCTGGCATCCATTCCAAAAACAGCCCTTGCACCAAAAATATTAGATTCACACAGCCTACACAGGGATGCTCCACATAAAAACACCCCTTCAAGACCACAGTAGGTAATTGTTTCTTCTAAATTTGTAGAGACAAACATAAAATGAAAAAGCAGAGGAACTAATCCCAATTAAAATAACAAGAGAAATCCTGTGAAAGAACAAATAATGAAGCAGACCTAACCAGTCTACTAGACCCAGAGTTCAAAGAGGAGGTAATAAAAAAAAGTAATAAAGGTTATTGATAGAAATACAGATCACTGTAACAAAAATTAGACACTATAAAGAGGAACCAATCAAAATTAAACAATTGCTGAGATAAAAACCAATCTAGAAGCAGTGAATAGCAGACTAAAAATGCAGAACAGTGAATAAGTGATCTGGAAGATAGAATCATGGAAATCACCCAATCAAAACAACAGACAGAGACAAATGAAAAAAAGAAGAAAACATGTATAGGACAATGTAAAACCTGCCAACTTACACATAATAGCAGTTTCAGAAGAAGAATAAGAGAAGGGGATCGAAAATGTATTTGAAGAAATTATGGCTGAAAACTTCCCAACCCGAAAAAATGAAACCTATCCAGGTACAGGAATCACAGCGAGTCCCAAACAGACCCACACCAGGTTATATCATAGCTAAAATGGCAAAAGTTAAAGAGGACTCTAAAGGCAGCAAAAGAAAAACAGAGTCAGTTACAAGGGAACCCATGTAAGACTATCAGCTGATTCCTCTGCAGAAAATTTGCAGGCCGGGAGCGGGTGGCGGGATATATTCAAAATCCTGAAAGAAAAACAGCCTGCAGCCTAGGATACTGTACCCAGAAAGATTATCATTTAGCTAGAAGGAGAGAGAAAGAGTTAATCAGACAAGCAAACACTAAAAGAATACAGCAATACTAAACCTAACCAAAAAGAAATATTGAAAGGTCTTCTCTAAATAGAAAAGAAGCAAGAATCTATAGGAAAGGGAAAATCACCATGGGAAAGGCAAATTACATAAGAGGATTAAAATCATTTATATAAACCAGTACATACATTAAAATACAATCAAAAAATTTTTGTAGAAGTGATTATAACTTTTAGAATGTGTTTGAACTTATACGACTGTAAGTCTAAAGCAAGTAGGTATAACTATGAGTTAACATACTTGAAAACCACGGTAACTGCAAAGGAAAAGCATACAATAGACTCACAAAAGCCAAAAAAGAAAGGAACTCAAGCATAACAAAAAAGAAAACCATCAAACCACAAAAGGAAAAATAAGAAGAAATGAACAAAGAACTACAAAGTCAGCTAGAAAACAAGGTTTAAAATGGCAATAAGTGCATACCTATCAGTAATTACTATCGGTAATTACTGATAGTAATTGACCTATCAGTCAATAGACTAAATGTTCCAATCAGAAGACATCAAGTGGCAGATTGGATAAGAAGACAACCTACAGTACAATATGCTGCCTACAAGAGATTCACTTTAGAGTGAAAGACTCATACAGATGGAAAGTGAGGGGATGGAAAAAGCTTTCATGCAAATGGAAGTGATGAGAAAGTGGGGGGTCACAGTACTCATATCAGACAACATAGACTTTAAAACAAAGTCCATTAAAAAAACACACACACAAAGAAGGACATTATATAATGGTAAAGGGGTCAACACAAGAAGAGGCTATTGCACTTGTTAACATATATGCACCCAGTACAGGAGCACCTAAATATATAAAACAAATACTGTCATAAAGCAAGAAATTGATGGGAATACAATAATAGTAGGAGACTTTAACACCCACCCTGGCATCAATGAACAGATCTTCCAGACAGAAGATCAACAAGGCAACAGAGAACCTAAATGATACAATGGAACAGTTAGACTTGATATCTACAGGACACTACATCCAAAAAAACCAGAATACACATTCTTTTCAAGTGCATATGGAACATTCTCTAGGATAGACCACATACTAGGTCACAAAATAAGTCTCAACAGATTTAAGAGGATAGAAATTATTTCAAGCATCTTTTCTGAACACAACAGTATGAAACTAGAGATTAATCACAGGAAAAACCCGAATACATGGAGAGTAAACAACATGCTAGTAATGATCAAACCAAAGAGGAAATCAGAAAATACCTTGAGACAAATGGCAATGAGAACACAACCTTATAAAATCTATGGGATGCAGCAGAACAGTTCTAAGAGGGAAGTTCATAGCGATACGGGCCTTCCTCAAGAAATAAGAAAAATCTCAAACAACCTAACCTACCACCTAAAAGAATTAGAAAAAAAAGCAAACCCCAAAGTCAGCAGAAGGAAGGAAATAAAAAGATCAGAGAGAAAATAGAGATTAAAAAGAAAACAAAACAACAATGAAACTAAGATGGTTTTTAAAGAAGATAAATCAACAAACCTCTAGTCAGCCTCACCAAGAAGAAAAAAGAGAGGACCCAAATAAAATAGGAAATGAAAGGGGAGAAATAACTACTGATACCACAGAAATACAAAAAAAAAAAAAAATACTAGAATACTATGAACAGTTAAATGACAACAAATTGGATAACCTAGCGGAAATGGACAAGTTTCTAGAAATATACAGCCTGCCAAAATTGAGTCAAGAAAAAACACAATTTGAACAGACCAGTCACTAGAAGTGAAATAGAACGTATAAAAAAAAAAACAACAAAAAAACAAAAAACGAAAAAACTCCCTGCAAACAAAAATCCAGTACTGGACGGCTTCACTGGGTAATTCTACCAAACATACAAAGAAGAACTTATGCCAATCTTTCTCAAACTCTTCCAAAAGATGGAAGAGGAGGGAACAGACCCAAAGTCATTCTGTGAAGCCATTATCACCCTGATACCAAAAACAGACAAAGACACTATAAAAACAAATCACAGGCCAATATCTTTGATGAATATTGATGTGAAAATCCTCAACAAAATATTACCTTGGCAACCGGTAGTCTAGTGAGCAGGACGCATCAGGATCACTGGGCAGCAGGGACTCGTGGTATCCCCAGGCACATGGCGTGGTCCCAATCCTTCTGGTAAACATTTCTTGGCCTGGGATTGGGGCTGGGGATCAGGAACAGGGGACTTGGCAACTTGTTTTCAAACGTTCCTGAGCCAGGTACAACTGCCAGGTGGGGGCAGGGAGGGCTGATTCCTCTCCAACATGCCTCCTGGTCCATGCTGGGCTGGTCCCAGGCACCAGAATTCACTTCAAAGTTTCACCGCAGCATCCTGCTGGGGCTGCCTTCAGCCAGCACAAGCACACTGAGGAATTTTCAGCAACAGAAGGACGTCCTTCATATATAAACTTCTGTCAATTGGACACCCTTTGTGTGTGGAGAAAGTTTACTTTTTTCCCCCACTGCTGCTGCAATGAAAAAAAAAATCAATAAATAAGACTAATAAAAATACAGGGATATTTAAAATAAAAAAAATTAGCTAACTGAATTCAGCAATACATAAGAAGGATCATATACCCTGGTCAAGTTGAATTCATGCCAGGTTTCAAGGATGGATCAACATGTGCAAATCAATCAGTGTGATATACCACATTAACAAAAGAAAAGACAAAACCCACATGATCATCTTGATAGAGAAAAAGCATTTGGTAAAATTCGACATGCATTCATGATTAAAAAAACTCTCACCAAGTGGGTATAGAGGGAACAAAGCAATTTATGATAACCCCACAGCTAATATGACATTCAATGGTGAAAAGCTAAAAGTCTTCCTGCTAACTAAATTCAGGAACAAGACAAGGATGCCCACTGTCATCTATTCAACATAGTATAAGTCGTAGCCACAGCAATCAGACAATAAAAAGAAATAATAGGTATCCAAACTGACAGAGGTAAAACTCACTATTTGCAGATGACATGATACTCCATACAGAGAACCCCAAAACTCCACACAAGAACTATTAGAGGGGAAGCGTAAGCTGGACGAAGTGAGAGAGTAGCACTGACATATATACACTACCAAATGTAAAATAGCTAGTGGGAAGCAGCTGCATAGCACAGGGAGAGCAGCTTGGTGCTTTGTAACCACCTAGAGGGATGGGATAGGGAGGGTGGGAGGGAGACGCAAGAGGGAGGAGATATGGGGATATATGTACACATATAGCTGATTCACTTTGTTATACAGCAGAAACTAACACACCATTGTAAAGCAATTATACTCCAATAAAGATGTTAAAAAAAAAACCTATTAAAACGAATAAATGAATTCAGGAGGGTAGCAGGATAAAAGATTAATCTGTATACAAGTTTATCTGGATAAGAAATCTGTTGCATTTCTTTACACTAACAATGAAATCAGAAAGTAAAAAAACAGTCCTGT